CACACACACACACACACACACACACACACACCCTGATGAGTCTTGCGTCATAAACTCTTGACCTGAGCTGGCTGAAGTTGACCGAAGCATGTCCGGCTGGTATGTGTGAGCGTGGGAACAAGCAAATCAGAGCAGCAAAGTCGCTCAAGTCTATCCGATGTACACAGCTTGTCCATGCTCGATGGGTGGATGGTAAAAAGAGGCAATGTTAAGCTGCTTCATATCTTTGTGGATGTGCAGACGCACGACTGTACGTTCATAGGCTAGGACTTTTGCGATTGCGGCTTTCTCTTTCTCCAAGAGCGCAATGCGCCGGGTGCAGGACGTGGCACGCTTCCCTCGAGTGAGTCATACATCATCACGGTTGACGTTTCGCTGCGAGCTCAGCTAGACATGTTGGCTGCTGCTGACGCTTTGCTCATGTCGCCGTTCGCACGATCAAGTGCGAGTTCGCAAGTCTGAGTGGTGCGCTCGGAGGTCGATGATGCGAGTAGCGCTTGCCTAGCATCGACGGACGGTCGACCAGCGTTGCTATCGCTTGATCGAGCGAACAATGCGGAACTCAGCTCAGCGCCTCTCACCAAAGCATCTCCTCGAGAGCAGGTATACAGTAGTACATCCACACGTATCCACCAAAGGACGCTATACGCGTACGCTGCTGGATGGACCGGTACGTACCCTCCAACGACTGTGCCGCTGCGACTTGCCGTCCCGTCACTGGATCGTTGACCATGGATGGATGAGTTTGGAGTGACAGCTCGCGGGACCTTGACAAGCTGCTGCAGGCGCCACTCGGCTAGCGTGCATGCAACGAACGATAACGCAAGCGAGTTGCGCTATCTGCTATTCTTGATTCAAATTCAAGGTCGACCGACGTGTACTCAAACTGTGACTCGTGACTGCAGCTTGGAGAACGCGAGCGGTTGGAAAAGCTTGGACGTCGTGCTCCCACTGGCGTGAGCAGCACTGGCCGACTCAACCACGACTCATGCATGCAATGCACTCACACTCTCTACAAATTTGCCAGATTTGCTTCATGTGTTCAACACACAACACGAAAGGAGGGTGGGGGCCTCGCCCGGGCCAGGATTCAGGAGTCAGGAGATTTCACTGGGCCATCAACAGTGTGAGTGCAAAAGTTCTGTCTGGGTCTTGCAATCGCAAGCGTGAATTTTGACGGGTACCGTACCGTACAGTGAAAGCGCGCGCGGTGGTTCATCCGAGGTGCAGCTACATGCTAGCGCAGAGGGGGAGGGGGAGGGGGCGCCGTCTGGTACATGTACATGATTACCTACACCTACAATGATTAGAAGTTGTAATCGGCAACACACTCGCACTCGAACCATGCATATGTACATGCAAGCGGTCCTTGCGCGGATGGCTATGCGCGCATGAAAACGAACGCAGCTCAGCTGCACTCAACACTCGGCCGCCGATCCAAACAAAAGCGGAGGGGCGGCACAAATTTTAAAGAAGCGCTGTGAGCAGTTGAAGTGAAGCTTGAAGCCTCAACTCCAGACATGCACCGCCATGCAAGAAGACTTACTTTTTTTGCCTTTCAAAATCCGACGCGCACTCGATTCATGCCGCCAAGGCTTTCCTCCGCAAAGGGTCATGGGCGGGTGCGCATGCGTGCAGACTTCGCAAGCACACCGACCGCCGTTCGCCGTTCTTACTCAGGGTTTGCGGATGCGGATGCTGATGCTGATATGCGGGTGTGGGGGCTGCTCGCGGATCCTCTTTCGCAGTTCATCATGAATCAAAGTCCTGACCCTCTCGTCGCTTGACTTGGCATGTGGCGCTTTATTAGTGTGCCATGCTTGCTCGACATTCTTGATTTGCCAGACCGGTCTAGTGCATTCGTAATTCATCTTCACAATCACAA